AATGTGATGAGGAGCCTCATTCAACGGATTTAATCATGACCAAAAGCAATAAGAAAATTAATTCTTCAGCGCCCAGCCCCCAAAGTGCCCCGTTTTTAGTCATGTCATTTCTGGACGCTATACAGATATCCCTATTGTACATACATCCTCATTGCAATTACATTAGTCAGAAGACAAAACAAAACCCTTGCACCGAATTGGCAATTTCGGAAAGTGACCCCATGGACACGTTTGTGTTCGCGCCCACAGTGTTTGTCCTTGAGCAGTGTTGGTCAGCCTAAGGGTAGCCAGCAAGCCGTGGAAGGAAAGCCGTATCTACAACTCACCAGAAGATGTGGTCAAAATGTCCACTTGTTCATTTGCTATGGAACCCAAACTATGAACCATTCCTGAAGCCGTTGTGACGCAGATCGTGTGGATGAGACGGGGAACGAGTCCGTTATAAGAGCGGACAGCTCAGCCTTGTCGCTGCAAGCACCAACCCCAAACGCGATGCACATGGACCCGTCATACCACATTAATGCGACACCGTCCCCATTTGCGGACTATGACAACTTACCCTGGTTGGCTCCCCTGACGTACATTGCACCTCACTCCCTATATCCACAATATGGTGGAAGTGGGGGGTAACGCCCCGTGGGCGGACATGTGGCACAACGTTGGGGCGCCTCCTCGCTGAAGAGACCAAAGTACGCTTCGATCCATATATTCGATACGCTGCGATACGTTTCGATATATTTCGATATGTTTCGATACGGTTCGTTCCGTCTTGATCGAGGCATGGGCCACGTTCAGAGCCTGTGGAAAGGGCGCATGCTCAGGACACCTGTGACGGGGAGGGTGCTGTTCCTGTCGGGCTCAACTGCGCAGTTGAGCGGATCAACTCAAGTCCGGATGTGGAGCGCACCAGCGCGACATACCAAATTCTTTCAACAGGAATTGGGACACGGCTGATGAGCTTCGCTGCATCGTCGCGAAGCGATGACGCCGACGCACACAGCCCTGTCTGCACAGCCCACAGCGAGTCCGCCAATGCGGCATTTCAATGCGTATTTAATGCCCAGTGGACAATGCAGTCCTGTTCTCCTCGTGAATCCATGAACAGTGGGATCCCACAAATGGGGCTGACGATCATGGCATTGCACGAGTCTCCCAGGGATCACTATATCAACACAGTCAGGGCCGAGTATGTCAACCGCTTTTTGGTAGACAATACAGCAGGCCGTTCCCACAGCTGCAGACCGTCCATAGCCCCTGTGATGAGAAATCCCCAAGATAACTTCCAAGCTGCTGTACACACAATGGCCTACACCAATCCAAACTCAAACAAACAGGGACCTGCATATCCCATCCACTTACAGACTGCACATAAATATCGAAAAGCCCAATAGTTGCTGGCTCTGGCGATGCGATGTTTACACAGCAAATCTGACTCCCCCGTACCCCCAACCACCTCTACCAATCAGCGATTACAACTCAGTAAAATGCTGCCAGAATCACGGCGGCTGCGCCACTGACCCCAAACAGCGCCATAGAGGATTGCTCCACAGCCTGCAGCTCAAGGGGGCCCTTCTTGTCTGCCTGGTTCCCATGCTGGGCGGCATCCCAGTACAGGTGCCTCAGCCCGCCAAGGTAATGGAACAGCAGCGGGAAGGCGACTCCCACCTTGGCAGGAAAGCACAGCAGCCAGGACGACTTGATCACATCCACAGTGGCAGGGACGTCCCCTGTGAGAGCCACCAGGCCGGCACCGATGCAGCCTGTCACGACACATGTCATCAGCACAGCACCCATGGGCTGCATGCTGCTGCCGTGATGCGCTCTAAACCTGGAAAGATCTTAAAAGATTCAAGACCATTGATCCAAGCCTTCAGATATCCTAGGTCACAGAAGTACACTAGGTAAAAACGGTTGGAGCACTCCCTCTTAATGTGCTTGATCCTTTGCCGCTTGCAGTGATAATGGACAAGTGCAGATTCAAGAGCTGTGTGGTGTTGGTGCAGCTCAAGATTATGCATGCAATATCAAGAAGAGAAAGCCTGTTGCGTGCATGCAGGCTACGAACCCACCAAATCTGAGCACAAAAACCACGTACATCAGTCCATGAACAGGCCCACTATTGTCCACAGACACTATGTGCAACTCCACAGATAATACAATCCACAATATTTAGCCCTTTATTGCCCCTCGACCAGTCTGGAAACGTCAGGTTATGCCCAAATCGCCATGGTTTGTTCCTGAGTAGTTACCACTGTTTCTGTTGCAAATCCCATCTCGCACAACCTCTCAACGGTTGTGAAGATGCACAATCAGATCCGATGCTCCCCACATTCAGTGCAGACAAGCGAAAAGTGCGGTGGGTGGGGTGGGTGGGGTGGGGGGGGGAGGATTTGAAAGTTTCTCCATTCCTGTTTCCTTCTGTTCTATCAGACTTACTCACCTGCAGAGAGCACCATGCCAGCCCCACGGTTTGTGATCGAGGACAGTGCCCCAATTGGAAACTTGTAATGGGGCTTCCAGTCTCCGAGCTCGAAGACATCAGGAGATAGAGGCCGCTTTGCAGTCAGCTGCACAAGCACAAACAACCATGAACTAGGAAAGCCATGCCCAAAAGGCACAAGAACAGAAATTCCAATCGATTTGCAGAGCAGGCAATGCCATTTGCCACTATGCACAGGCACACCACAAGGGCTTGAAAAGTGAACGAAGTGACAGAAACAATGGTGCGAAAGAAGACTTCATGCAGAACCTGGCAGTGGAGAAAACAGCTCATAAGCAACAGCGATCCCTGTAGGTGTGATCAGGTCTGTTGCATGCCAAGTGCTGCATCCAGAAAAGGCTGCATTCCTGTCAAAATGCACCAGCTGTCAATCCGCACGACACTGCACGTACAGTTGCAGTGCTGTGTCCCAGATCAAATCTTGAGCGCGAGGATGTGGCAAGGACATGAAGGGCACAGAAAAGGCACAGTGGGCCTGTGGTGGGACCGCAGGCACATCAATGATAACCATCAATAACCCAGATCGGAGGGCACCAGCCAGCACATGGCACAGAACTGAAATTCTCATGTTCAGCGATTTCATGTGTGAGGTTCAAGATTTGCTTCGAGATCAGATCTTGAACACCAGCATTTAAACAGATTTCCCCACAGATCGCACACGGGAACAATTTGATGGGAACAGTTCTGGCGCTCTGGACACCACCAAACATTCCCAGAATAATGCAAAGGCAGTGATTCGTCGTATCTGTCGAAAAATGCAACAACCATGGCTCGAAACACATCTCTCATGCTGGGCATTCCCCAACCCCCTGTGAGCCATTCGATCCTGCCACATTCCACATCTTCCTTCACAACTGCATCCTCAGCTGCTGGATTTCCCAAATGGAACAGCAATTTACTGGCCCCTGCACGTGTCAGGCGATGCCCTGCAGTCCCACCCATAGCAGGGCACCGCATCGTTGCTGTCCACAACCCCAAGGCACCCACTTGGAACACACCCATGCACGAATTCTCCCCCTACTTTCGGTGGACCTGACTCACATGCCACTAATGGCGACAAGTTCTCAGATTGCCAAGAGCCCCGCTTCTTTATCAAATTGCCAAGAGTCCTGCCAAGAGTCGGGATTCTCAAATAGCTTCGTTGTTCCATAGCGCCCAAAGGTGCGGAAACGTGCAGCTCCCTCAACCAAAAAACATCCCGGACAAAAAAAAATCCCGCATAAACCATAAAAAAACCCGCACAAAAATTCCCGCAAATCCCTCCAACTCAGCGCACGCTGCGCCAGGCTCACCGTGAGGTGCTCGTCCGGCGTGCCGAGGAACTTGGTGCCCTCAGTGTACTTGGAAGGCTGGCCCCAAACCTCGTACCCTCCGCCCAGCCTGAAAAAGCCCACACCCGCAGCGGCCCCCTGAGTGAATGATTTCTTGCCTTTTGTGTTGCTTGCGCTGTGTGCTCGTCATTTTGCATCGGAGGCTCTATATCATCTGTTAACAGGATGGGAAAGAGCCCTGCATACACTTGCTTCGGTGGGGAGGGGGTATCCTGTGTATGGCCCGTTTCTCTCTCTGTTCGTGACAAATCTCACCCCAAGCGGCCGATCAGCAACGTCACCCAGCCAGAAGGCCAACAGGCGGCAAAGCGCAAAAGCAGAAAATCAAAACCGCGATCAGCGCACAGATCCCACGCAGCAAATTCCGCGCAGCATCCGTGCTCGCCGGCGAGCAGCGGCGAAGGGTGCGGGCGTCCCTCGATTGGCGTCGATGACGTTAGGGATGGCGACCCCCTTCACACGTTTCCCCTCACCCTCTGATCTGCTGGAAGGAGGCGAAGGCCAGCCCCGGCAGGCCGTCGCCGGCGGCCCTTTTTTCCAGCGTCATCCCCGCCAGCCCCAGCAGGCGCTTTCCCGCTCCGGCCATTGTGCGCTGCTGGGCCAGGCCTTGGGCCCTCGGCTGGGCGGTGTGCGAGGCACCCGGGGTGGGACATTAATGGCGTGCTCATGGTGGGTTCATTATCATCGCATTTTCAACCCGTCCACGGCGTTGTTCTACCGGAATTGATCGAAAACTGTTAATTGCTGGACGCGTCAAGAGGTGATGGCGTTGTAACGAGAACTGATTGAGTATTATTAACAGCTGGACCCATAAAGTCATAAAGTCATTTCCAGTTTCTTGCTGGGCACTGTTCGAATTAGGGTGCGCTGCAGCGTTTTGTGCAGTGCAAATTGTCCGAATAGGATGCCTTTGGGCGTTTCGAGCCTGTCATTTGAAACAAATTTAGTGAAAAAGTGTCAATTCGGGCACCAACAAAAAAAACAAACTGATTGATGCTTAATGATCACCAATACGAAGTTGCGTGTTGCGCCGCTGCTGATGCTGGGATATTCGCGGTATCGGATCGGGCTCCTGACACAGTACGCCGCGGTCATAGGCCTGCTGCCGGCTATCACAATACCACAATTAACATAGGGTGTGCACTCATTATGCGTCCATGGCATCTTTTGCCCATATTAGCACGATATTATCTAGCTCTCGCATCGTCCTCCTATCCCTTGCCCATGTTATTTTTATTGTACAACAATGCACTAACATCACATTGTGTCACATGCCCATGTGCCCCATGGCACTTTCCGGCATGCTTCGCACATGGTGGTCTTGTATTTGGCGACGGACTGAGGTTTCGCTCATCAAGTTACCAAAACTGGATTTCTATTGAAGACCACCAAATTCTCGTTACCAACATAAATGCATGTGGTGTGGTGGGCAGGTGCAAGCCACTTGCGACTATCTTGTACTACCTCCGTTACAAGAGCCTTGTCCGTTATGTAATCTTGGTATAACTTTGCAAGATTAACTCAACTAGTCAATCTGTCACTGTTTCGGATTCCTTGTTCGATGTTGGGTTGGTACGGATTTTGATTGTGTTAATCATCGCCATACAGCAAGGAATGGCTTGATCGAAAGTGTACTTGTTCCCTTCGGTCGGGGCCTCAATTCCCAGCAGTTTTGTCCCTGCCTTATCCCGGCTGGTCCTCCCATCTCCCCAAAATTCTTCGCACTTTTGTCATAGACAACGATGAGCATCTCCACAACTTTCGAGAGCTTTGGCGTCATTGTTTTCATATCCTCTGCAGAAATATCTTCCACTGTGTTGAACTGTGTCTATGAAATTATTGATTCCAACGTTTGGCTGTGTTGATCTGAGCCCAGGCCGTTTCTTTGGTTGGCACCATCATGCGCGATCTGTTAGACGTTAGCACATCTGCAAGGTCGATGCTCGTGCAGAGATCAATATATCTGGAATGTAGACGCCTCTTTTTCCGCATACCAAACCATCAAGTCACACATTCTTCTTGGGGTTAGCTCAGCTGGATCCACCTTAATGGAAGGGCAAGGCAGGCTTACCGCGACCCAGACTGACTCCTGACACAAGGAAAAATGTCGCTTCAGCTCCTCTTGACATATTATGAGCATGGCAATGTTGTTTGCTACATTCGGGAACTGAGCGGATAGCTCTCAAACAGGGCATCCAAGTTGTTTCGGCCAAGTTGTCAGACTCACATGTTTTGACCATCGTTCAGACCAATTAAATCAAGGACAAAACTTCTGTAACTGAGTTGGTGTTTTACCTGTGCCTATGCCTTGGTGTGCATGACAACAGAATTTGCATGCAGTGGCAGGTACTCTTCGCGCTTTTCCATGGATCTAAATCACCTAATTTTGACCGCAACACTTTTGCTGGAACATATTTTCTCGCAAACATTGAGTGCATGCATGAATCAGGTTGAACCTTACCGTTGAGGACTCAATGGATCCGTGCATGGGATGTGCTGCATTGACACCCCACAAAATTTTGCTGCCACTCTACGCTATGTAGAGTGAGTGTATCCAAAGATTGCTGATGGCAACTGCGTATTGTGGCCGTTGCCTCAGAGCGTCGCTTTGCAACATGGCGCTACCCAATAGACCACCTGACTGCCAGATGACATGCCTTGTTATTGTGCCATTGGTACTGTTGAAATTGCCCTTATCTACTGCATCCCTAGTGCTACATGTTCTCCATGCATATGCTCAACATACGGTGGAACATACTCGTGTTGAAAGCAGGCAATATATCATTTCGCACTCTTTCCGCACTCATCCTCGTAATCTTCCTTTCCAAACCAACACTTTTGCTTGTGCCCCAGTTGAAGATTAGTTGCCCAGCTACATTTGAAAACACTGTCTGTGCAAAACTGGAATATGATACATTCCGGATGATATTACGCCTGCATGCAGATCCAGAAACAGGCCTAAATACTGATACATAAATTGTGTTTGAGTTTGTGTAAATTTCCAAATTCCGTTCAGGGAATTCGTTTCAAAGTGATCCCTCTTTGTTTTGGCCGCTTGGGCTACCTGAAACGCGCAGCCACACGCGACTTCTGGAACCTACGTTGCACATTGCTGAGCGATCCCCTCACGCCGTTGCAAGTACTTGCTCAGCAAACTTCCATTGTACCCGGCATGGCGCAAAACCAGCGCATCGTTGTTGTGCATACGGAATGGCATGTACCACAGACTCCTATCTCGTCATGCGTAGTGCGCCTAAGCACAAACACTAGCTGTGATACATGTATGTCTTGCGAACCCATCCGTCACTGCATCTTCACGCCATTGCCAGCGCTTCACATGTCCCATAAGATGCGTACAGCGTCGGGTCCATCTTGGAGGACATGTCCGGCAATAGTTTAGTCCTTTATGGTACTTTCTTCCAGCGCTTCTTTTCGGTTCTTAGGGCCGGCATGCTTCATCCCCACTTGAAACCCCCGTGGCGCTCGACGACCGCGTCCCGCCAATCCAGCAGGTCTGCAAACTCCTTCGAAGCCTCCTCCCACGTGCAGCATGCCACGGCCGCCGACCGACGCCGGAACGGCGACCCCGGCGCCGGGCACACCAGCTCCATCGCCATTGCCATGGCGACGTCTGCGTAACTGAATTCGCCCAAAATGTACGCGTCACGCAGGGCGTTACCCTCCGCGCGCTTGGCCAGCGCCTCCCGAGTGGCCTCAAGGGCCGCGCGGGCGCCGCGCTCGGACCCCTCCCCGAACTCCCCGCTGTACTTTCTCATCACCCGCTTGATCATGTACTTCGCGATCCCCCTCCCAAGACCGCCCAGGGGCCTCAGCGACTTAGGCACATAGCCGGCTATGGCTTCATCGGAGGCGAGCGTCCTCTTGAGGGATAGGAAGCGCGCGGCGTAGAGAACCTTCTGGCTGAGGTCGTTCCATTCCTTAGCCGCCTCCACCCCGCTGGGGAAGATGGTCTTCCTGCCGGCCTCCCTGCGGCCAGCGCGGCGGGCAATGGGCCAAATCAGCGGCCTCTCCCGCTCCAAACGATCCCCCTTGTCGCCACCGTGGCCCAAACCCAAACAACGGTCTAATGTTCGCGTTCAAAAGCAAGCCCGGTGGATTGAAAAGGCAGCCAGGTATCCCTGCATTCGCTCCCTCTCCCCACGTCCGTGGTTTGTAAAACATTCAACACCACCCCACCCCGCAACCCCACCCACACGCCCTCTCGGGGGACCAGGGAGCCACATATTCAAACGCCGGTCAAATAGCCGCGATAAAAGCCCAACCCCCACCCACCATCACCCGTTGGACTGAAAAGACAGCCAGGTGTCCCAACAGCCGTTCTCCCCCCCCACCCCCCCACCCCCCCACCCCCCCACCCCCCCACACCATTCTCGGTGGCAAATTTTCCAAACGACCCCACCACCACGTCGCCACGGTCAAATATACGCGCTCGAAAGCAACCCCACTGCCTTGACAAGACAACCAGGTGTCCCAGTATGCGCTCTCTTACGCGACAATCACCGTTGAAACTCTTAACTCGACTCCAACATGAATTCATCGGCGGATCGCGCAGCAGCGTGCGCTTTCAAACGAACTAAATGCCATTTTGCAGCGTGTCCACTCGCCTGCGACCGTCCGCCCACACGGCGATGTCGAACGAGTCCGTGAGGGGCGGGGCGCCGGGCACGAACAGCACCGGCACTGACACTCGGCCGCAGTAGTTGCCCAGCCTGATGCGCAGGCCCGGCTACGACAGCCCTGAGGTGTACTCCACGCGCCTGTAGGCCACGCCGCAGGCCGCCAGCGCCCACTTAGCCTTGTTGGACCACGGCGAAAAGCGAATGGAGTAGAGCTGGGGTTCGGAAGCCATTGCACGGAGACAGTGGCGGACATGCACACGGGGCCCGCCTCTTGACTGCCATTCAACGCCATTCACTTTTTGACATGACAAGCCAATAAAAGCAGCTTGGCCACAATGTAAGTCACGGGATGACTGTGACATCGTAAAGTGTCGCACGAACCGTTGCCTGATGGGATTAGGCGTGGGGGAGGTAAGCCCGGTCCCGCCGCGTATGCAATGCAACCACCGCGTGTGTAGATGTTATGTAATGAGGACGCGTGACGGCTTGAGCAGAGTCAGCCCGCAGCTGCCGTGCCTCGGCCCCTTCGTCCCAAATCTGACGAGGGTGTCGCGGATGCGGACCAAGAGCGGGAAGGCGTGGCAGAGACGAGACGAGACAGAGACGGAGACGCAGTACATTCATACACGCCCCAAACCAAACGCCCCGTTGGCCAATCCTGACCCGTGTCCGTACTGGGAACCCTAACCCTACCACTAAAACCTAAATACTGCCACTAAGGCCTTGACACAACACCCTAAAAACTAACGCTAAACCAGAAAACGCCCACACGCGACCTGTCTCTGTCACCGACATGTCTCCAGGATCATGGTCTGCACCCTGCAACAGTCTGCAGCTGACCGAATCCATAATAGTGCAATTAACATTGGGCTAATTGGATAATATTGGACCATATTGAATATGAATATGGATAATGTTCGGGGCGCCAATTAATGTAGAAAGATTGCATTACAGAAAGAGCCCCTTTAGCAGCGCTCAGCTAGCGCCCCGTGAGGGCCAGAACCAGTGGCACGTAGCCCAGACTCGGCCCAAAATGACTACGAGCGTCATTGGCAACGCCGTCACAGCATCTGGACAACGCCACAGGGGCCCAGGACGCTCTGGAGGCTGTTGCACCATGCTCAGCATCATCGACAAAACGATAGCATGGTTTTCAGAGTAAACGCAAGTGGAAACCAAAAATAAGGGCTCAGACGCTGATGATCGTATCATACCATTTACCATTGAAAACCGGTCAAACACATCAAAGCAACGCCCATGTTACTTCAACCGGTGATCCACTCAACGCTTTCAGTAATTCATCGACCATGCATCCCCCATCCAATCTCCTTACCAAAGCGTTTGGTGGTTCCACGCCCATCATGGCAGAATTCTGGACGTTCCCCACACTCCAGCTTACCCACAATCAATCTGTGATACATTCTCAATTTTTGCCACAGCGTCCCATCATGAGTGGCACCCGTTATGGCCACATATATCACAAACTGACCTAAGAGACCGACCCATGATATTACATCATGGAGCCCGAAATTCGCATGGATTGCCACCTCCGATATCCATCACAGGCGCTCTATCGACTAGCGGGCAAATCACAAGTTCTTACAAATCCCCAGGACTTGCAACTCTCGGCCTCTGCCCCACTGGGGTGGGCAGATCCATATTTGTACCTCTATCGGCACACGACACGCCGTGGCCGCACCCAAGGAACTTCATTGTGTATTTCTCTCACATGTCACTGGAGTTACCTCACTTGTCTCACTGCCACTCCCCATCACCTTTCACTCTCCGGTTCTGCCATCACAATGGCGCGGCACCGACGCTGCTGGCTCCGCGACACGGCACAGTGATGCCATCACACCAAAATCGCACCTATCACACTTCATCACACTGAACCCCACAGCTCGCCTCCGCGGCTCGCCCCTGCAGCTCGCCCCCGCGGCTCAAAGCTACTACCGGCCCATCAAACAGCTGCCAAAAGGCTAGCCTAACGTAAGGCTCCACTGAGAGCCGTGCTGCCACCTCCGGGTGCCGGCAATGGCTGTGATGGCTCTGGGCGCTGCCCTTAGTAGTGCAACTGGAAATGGTGCAAGCACTCACCCATCCCGTGCCGCCTTGGGCCAAACGGCCAGCGCCCCCATTCGGTGACCAAAACACAAAAGTGGCCAACAAATGTTGGTCATTTTGTGGGAAACCGAACATGGGCACTCCCACGCCTACCCACTGCGCAGAAACTCCGAAAAGTTCATATTGATCTTAGTCTATCATACCCTCAATGGTGTTTGCATTGGAAACCATCAAAGTCAAAGTCAGAGAAATCATAAGATACAACCATTACCACGAATTTCAGTCCTCCCCTGATTTAAAGACCGGGAGCACGCCAGGCGACCAAGGCGAATTTCAGTCTCCCCCTGATTTAAAGGACCGGGGGCACGCAGAAAATGCACTGCATCAAATGCTACCCATTGACTTTCTTGGAAGGCTCCCACAATTCAGACCCTTTGCTAAACATCATTTGGTGCACACTCACCAAACGATCACCAAATTTCAGATGTTGCAAAAGAAACGATGCAAAGCATTGGTCAATAAATTCTTTGATCACTCTTATAAACACCAACGTGCAGCTCATGATGTCCAAACATCTGATTGCTCTTTTTCGATATTGGTGGGCCCATCAGAATCCTATTTTCTATCTTTGCTTGTGGTGGCAATTCTCAATCTGACCAGATTCTCTGATCGTAGCCAAGATGCAAAAAGAATTCCCCAAATGCTCCTTCTGAGTGAGCCAATATGCTTGTTCATTCATAGACACCCACAATTTTGATACTACTCATGTGATGATGCTGCGATCACAAGAGATATCACTCAGCAGCATGATCCAAGTCTCCACATTAGTCGCCAACTGTGATCTACGTCACTACATTGATCGTCCTTGTGGTGATCCACCAACCGACATCACTTTCAGTGCCCGGAATCATCCCAACAAAAGAACACATTGGCAGTTCATCACAGTCGTCACCGCAATATCACTTTTCGCCAACATGAATTGAGATGATTCCCTGCCTAGGGAACACTAAATTATGCCATCAGACCCACTTGAACCACTTGCCTTTCTGTCGCTTTGCATTCTCTCCTCATTCCAGTTCATCTTCTCAACTCATAATTCATCATCAACATCCATTTCTGCCTCCCAATATACGTCAGCCGCACGCTCCGAAACCATGTTGCACCATGCTCAGCATCATCGACAAAACGATAGCATGGTTTTCAGAGTAAACGCAAGTGGAAACCAAAAATAAGGGCTCAGACGCTGATGATCGTATCATACCATTTACCATTGAAAACCGGTCAAACACATCAAAGCAACGCCCATGTTACTTCAACCGGTGATCCACTCAACGCTTTCAGTAATTCATCGACCATGCATCCCCCATCCAATCTCCTTACCAAAGCGTTTGGTGGTTCCACGCCCATCATGGCAGAATTCTGGACGTTCCCCACACTCCAGCTTACCCACAATCAATCTGTGATACATGCTCAATTTTCGCCACAGCGTCCCATCATGAGTGGCACCCGTTATGGCCACATATATCACAAACTGACCTGAGAGACCGACCCATGATATTACATCATAGAGCCCGAAATTCGCATGGATTGCCACCTTCGATATCCATCACAGGCGCTCTATCGACTAGCAGGCAAATCACAAGTTCTTACAAATCCCCAGGACTTGCAACTCTCGGCCTCTGCCCCACTGGGGTGGGCAGATCCATATTTGTACCTCTATCGGCACACGACACGCCGTGGCCGCACCCAAGGAACTTCATTGTGTGTTTCTTTCACATGTCACTGGAGTTACCTCACTTGTCTCACTGCCACTCCCCATCACATTCCAATCCCACGCCACACCAGTTTGCCATGCACCCGCACCCTATCACCATGTGACCCACGCTCAAACGCGTCCTCTGTACTGCCGGCCCATCAAACTGGCACCCAGCACCCTCCTTGCATGACGCAACCCCATCAACTTCTCACTCATTGACTCCTGCCATCACAATGGCGCGGCATCGGTGCTGCTGGCCCAGTGGCACAGCACAGTGACGCCATCACACCAAAATGGCATCAATCACACGTCATCACACTGCGCCCCACAG